CAGTCATTGTATTGTTTTTCAGTAAAAATACATTCTTTAAGACAACAAAAGTTTCTTTATAACCTGTCCATAAGTGACTGATAGGAAAGCTTTTTACTTTTAAATAGTTAAAGGAACACTAAAGGGTCTGGAACACAAAGATTTATTCCTGACCCCATAGATATGAAATTACCATCTAGTCCCCCTGACCCTACTTGTCCTCCGAATATATTAACATCTTACTAGTATTCAAGCGTGCAGCTGCTGTCTCTGCCCCTGAACCACCTGCTTACAGCTGACATCATCAGAAGTGATTCCATGAGTCAATCATAATGCTCTCCCATAGGATTGTTTGAGACTCTCAAGGAGGCAGATCAGGGGCTGAGCAAGGACAGGTCAAACAGAGCCCTGGCCAGTCAGCATCTCCTCATAGAGATACATTGAACCCACGTACAACCCACAAACTCAAAACAAGAACACAGAAACATTTAAGGAACATAAAAACCAAGTAAATTGTAATTCATAGGGATTCAAAGAGTACACACTAACTGAAGAAGACAGGACATGTAGTTGTAACCAGACAAGTTGGACACACAGGAACAGAGGGGTTGAGGGCCCTGCTCAATGAGCTTACATGCTAGAGGGAGTGGGGTAAAATGACACAAAAAGGTAAGGATAGTATTAGACTAGTGACAGTTGCAGAAGAGGAATCAGTCAGTAGCTATTAACATTTTAATTGATACGCTTTTATGAAGAAGTTGGTTTTTAACGATTTTTTGAAGGAGTGGAGACTGGGTGAGCATCTAACGGAGGAGGGAAGCGAGTTCCACAGGAAAGGTGCAGCACTCGAGAAATCTTGAAGGCGAGCATCGGAGGTGGGAGTACGGACAGAAGATAGACATAAGTCTTCAGCAGATCGTAAGGGCCTAGACGGGACATACTTGTGTATAAGGGAGGATAGATAGGTGGGAGCAGCATTATGTGTTGGATTTTTAATTTAAGTACTTTGCATCTACATTGGTTAAAATGTGATTTAATACCATGAAATCTCCTTGCAGTGCTATTATAGTAAAGGGAGAATCCACTGCCCAAATTGTGTAGAAATACTCCAAATGAAACTGTAAATGCATTTAAGTATGTATTTTTTAATTGGGTATTAGTGATGTCCCGAACTGTTCACCGAACGGTTTGCGAACGGTTCGCCACGAACGGTTTGCTGCGGACTCATCATTGAGTAAACTTTGACCCTGTACCTCACAGTCAACAGACACATTCCAGCCAATCGGCAGCAGACCCTCCCTCCCAGACCCTCCCACCTCCTGGACAGAATCCATTGTGAAGCTGCATTCTTAGTGAGCTGTCCAGGAGGTGGGAGGGTCTGGGAGGGAGGGTCTGCTGCTGATTGGCTGGAATGTGTCTGCTGACTGTGAGGTCATTTCGGGACATCACTATTGGGTATATATCTGAAATCAGCCTGCAAAACCTGCAGTTCACTTGTTTGCTGCCTTTGCAAGCTCTCCCCTTTTAACTCCACCCAGACTTCCTGTGCATATCCAATCATAGATTTCCCAATACAGCTCAATGAGATGTCTTTGTAAGTCAGGTGATCTGAGCAATTGCTGTCTCTTGAGGTCAGCTGAATTTGGCTAAAAAACCCAGGAAGTAGCATCATCTGTTGTATGCTTGAAAGCCAAAGGGGTGTAACCAGGTTAATTTATAAAAGTGTAAATTTCTACTGAAATCTGCACTTTTTGCAACAACAAAAAAAAGGACACATTTTTCACAAATAGAGCTTTTCAGCAAGCTAAAGTTGCTTAGAAGTATGCAGTGACCCTTTAATGTTTTATTCATATCTCTGATGCTGTGATCCAAGAAATTAACCTCAACAATTTTGTTTATATCCAATGGAATTATAATACCAATAAAGGTAGTTCACTTCTTCTTTGAGAAGTAAAAACCATCATTTTTCATTATCATCTCTTTTGTCAGTTTCTTGATGTTAACAAACTGTGCTCCTGACTTTCCTATATTTCATATATAATTGATTTTGCTATAATGTATTATCTCATTCATTAGGATTGCAATGAGTTTACCAGATCTAATAAGGAGATAAATATTTTTTTCCCATGTAGGCAAATTTGAAACTCATCTTTTAAAGTTAAATAACACTTCAAGAGTGTGCATGGCATAGTTGTGGTGGTGAAAGGGTTATAGCTCACTATTTGTCTGCACTAGACCGGAAATATTATAAAATCCCCTTTAACAACACCCACACAACCATAATAATATAAATATTACTATTTTAACACTGCCACCACCAAGACAATTTATAAATGGGGTGCCTTGGTCCCCCAGGTAACTTAATAATAAAAACCCACCAAACACAACTTATCACAATATCTATGTAATTAAAAAACACTAATTAGTCTCTTCAGGTAATGGGATTCTTTACCAGACCAAGGCAGAATTTGATAAAGTAATATTTATTATGAGCAAAAAATTGTCACAGTGCATACAAAAATATAGATGACAATTAAATTAGATACACAAACAACAGATAAAAACAAAAGGCATAAAATAACAGAAGTCCTAATTACTTGCTCAGGTTTTTAAAGTAAAACTTCTGCCCGGGGGGTATCTGGTAAGAAAGGTGGTGACTGACTTAGAATTAGATTCTGTCCCCCAAGCAAGTCCAATGTACACTTCAGTATCATTAGATATATACCCTGTAGATTACCAAGCCTTGTCCAGAGGTGGGGATAAGGAGTACCTACAGTAACTATAAGTGTTCCAGACCAATATCAATCCAAATGGAAACATTTGGTTCTATCTCCTCGTATGTATTTTCCACAGAAATAATAATTGCATCTATGAATTTGTTACCATTTCCCATTCCATAGATATGTCACACTCCTTACTTGTGATCCAATATAGTGGACATCACAATCCCTTCCCCTATGGTTAAGTAACACAAATCATGTTTGGGCTTGATTAGAAGATCGTGCTTGTCCCATTCTAAATATAATAAAAATGAGGCTTAATTATTCATCTGACCTTGCAAACAAGTGGCCAATTCACATATGCACTACACAAATTACATTCAATAGCAATATTCTATTGTGCAACAATGAATTATGCACCCTTGGAGTGACATTATTTGCAAATTGTTACAAGACCAAAATTTACAGAATAGGGGGCAAGGGATATCCTTGCATAATGACATTTCCTAACTTAAACCAACTGGAACATAAGCTAGTGTCTACAACTCTTGCTGAAGGATCTGTGTAGAGAGACTTAAAGGCATCTAGTATACAGCCATTTAGACCTTAAATACATGTACCCCATCCAACCAACTGTCTAGAGACAGGCTCAGGCTTGGGACACATTTTCTTACTGCTATATTAGGAATATTTATTGTACATCATATATTGTTACATGATGACATGCCTGCTATGTAACCTATTTGATCTTTATTATTAATGGAAGGTAAAATAACTTAAGCTTGTTCTGCCAATATAGATGAAGATAATTTTGTAACCACATTAATCAATGAGATTGGCCAATAACCAGCTACATCTGATGTTTTTTTTTTCCTTGTTTTAATGTTCATAAAATATTGACCCTTAACATTTGAGCAGGAAAAAAATCTTGTAAAAATGATCACAATGTAAGCATTCACCAAGTGATCCGTGATTTTTATTTTTGAATAATTTGTAAAATAAGGTACTAAAACCATCAGGTCTTTATGATGATATGTTGTAACAGTCTGTCAGTTGTCCTTTCCAACTCCACCAGACAGCCACTAGAGGTTGGATTAACCCTGCAATGTGAACATAGCAGTTTCTCTGAAACTGCTATGTTTACATCTGAAGGGTTAAAACCTGGGGGACCTGGCACCCAGACCACTTAATTGAGCTGAAGTGGTGTGGGTAACTATAGTGTCCCTTTAATCTCTTCTTGAGAGGCATATAAGGCAAACTATACAAATTTATGCAGAAATTTACTAAATTGTTCCCTATCTCCATCAATGTCATATATATCTGATCTCATTCATTCATTCTTTTTTTTTCTTTTTATTATATAGAATTGTATCTGCTCTGCTACCCTTGTGATAATACTCCCTGTTAAGACAATCTACTGTAAATTTGTAATAGTTTTTTCTGATTCTAATCTATTAATTTTTATTAATTGGTGGAACGTAGGTGCATAACACAAGAGGACCCGGGTTCCGTATGAAATTGTGGTGTGAATCTAAAGCACATCAGCTGGACATCAAATTCCAGGATTGGAGGAAACAGGACTCATGATGAACTTGATGGGTCATATAATGGTTTGTGTTGTTATTGACTTTGATATGCTGCATTTCTTTTAATGCCCCTGAGGAAGTCTTACCGTTAAGACGAAACACATAGGGCATATGTGGGGCTTCATTGTTTATGCTGTGATTCTTATAATTGTTATTTTTACCACCTGAAAAACATATTATACTTGGATGAATATTTTTTTATCTGCATCACGCACTTTTTCCATGATTTACAAGTGATATGTTGATGGCCTAAGTTTAACATAATAAAGCAATGACTTTGTTTAAAGCGGCACTGTCATGGCTGAATCCTGTTTTTTTTAACCCCCTCCCGACTCCACTACATCTAACTGAACCTCTAGTCACCCCCAAATGCCCCTAAGCTCCCCATATGACCTATTTTAACTTTATTTTGTGCCCGGACCTATGTTCAGGGCGCCGCCATCTTTGTGTGGGTAGATGAAGTCCCTGTGGGACACGTCATCAGCCCACACTAGATAGCGCTGTGAAATTCCTGCACATGCCCAGTTAAACACTTGGGCATGCAAACAGGAATTTCATCTATTCATTCATTCGTCAGAAAGATGAATACAGTATATACTCGAGTATAAGTCTAGTTTTTCAGCACATTTTTTGTGCTTAAAAACCCCCACTCGACTTATACTCGAGTCACTGTCTGTATTATGGCAACTTAGAGAGCCACGGCCATCAGAGCCATGGCAACGATCCGCGCGGCAACCAGACCGCGAGACTTACAGTGGAGCTGACCGGAACGGAGGAGAAAGGAGCTGACAGGAGCTGCAGGAAAGGTAAGTAAATGCTTCCTGCCGGCCCCCCCACTTCACAGCCCATGCCACTGGACCACCAGGGATTAAGATAGCCCCCCTCCCTGACCAGTTAACAAGCAGGTAGGGGGGTGACAAAAAAAAATTAAAATAATATTAAAATAAAAAAAATTTAAATAATAAAAATTGCCCTCCCCCCACCCAGTTCACAAACACTACATTATATACACACTCTGCATTATATACACAGAGTGTGTGTATATAATGAAGAGTGTGTGTTTGTATGAGTGTGTGTGTGTATATAATGCAGAGTGTGTGTGTATATAATTATAAAAATCACAGAATTTCATAGCCCCAAGTTTTACCCTCGACTTATCCACGAGGCATAGCATATTTCACAATTGTTGGTCACAAACTGCACTCGACTTATACATGAGATCGATTTATACACGAGTATATACGGTAAATGACTAGAAATATCAGACGAACAAACAAACACTGAATATAGGTGTTCCTTTGTTTGTTCAGTTTATTACAAGGAGTGAGCTACCGGCGTGCAACTCCCTCCTTGTAATATGTAAAGATAGAAGCGACAGGGAGCAGCTCCCTGCCACTTCCTAAGCACCCCATGTCCTCCCTCACTCTAATGGGGTCAATATGACCCCCATAATAGCATAAGAGAGAGATTAAAATCTCCCGAATGCCCCTACTTGCTAGGTTGCGAGGAGGGGAATGTCTACTAAACAGTGAGCTTCTAGCTGCTCACTGTTAAAAAAAAAACCCTAGGACCGCCCCGGCCCCCACCCCAGAGCGGTGGGTGTGGGAAATAAATAACAATGAGGGGGACCTATTGTCCTCCCCCACCCTTGAGTGGTGGGTGGGGCCCTAAAGAATAATGAGGCAGGAGACCTATTGTCCTCCCCCCAGTCCCCACCCCTGAGCAGTGGGTGGGGCCATAAAGGAAAATGAGGGGGGGGACCTATTGTCCTTCCCCCCATCCCCTCCCGAGCAGCAGGTGGGGGTTTTAAAGGAAAATGAGGGGGGGGAGCTCAGTCTGCGCCATGCCCTCACCGGGTGAAGATGGATTAATTTTTTAACGTCAGGTTTTTTTCTTTTTCGTCTGATTTTTTTGAAGATTTAAAAAAAAAAAGACATCAAATGGCAAGTTTTATTTAGTTTTTCCCTCACTATTTTTAGGGTGATGGGGGTAGGTAGGGGATTATTTTTTATTTGGGTTGTGAGTGACTAGGGGCATGGGGACCCCTAGTCACCTTGGAAGGGGGGAGGGGCCTTTTCATTTAGCGCCCCCATCTGCCACTCAGGGGTGGGGGCTGGGAAGGAGGACAATAGGTCCCCCTCTCATTGTCTTTTATGGTCCCCACCCACCGCTAAGGGGTGGGAGCCGGGGGGAGGACAATAGGTCCTGCCCCATTGTCTTTTATGGCCCCACCCGCTGCTCAGGGGTGGGGGCCGGGGGGGAGGAAAATAGGTCCTGCCCCATTGTCTTTTATGGCCCCCACCCGCCACTCGGGGTGGGGGCTGGGGGGACAACAGGTTCCCCCATTGTTATTTATGATCCCCACCCAGCGCTCAGGGATTGGGTCCGGGGGGAAGGACAATAGGTTCACTCTCTCATTATCCCTTAGGGCCCCCATCCGCCGCTCAGGAGTGGGGGCCGGGGAGGGTACTAAGGTTTTTTTGTTCTTTTTTAAATAGTTAGCAGCCATGGGCTGCTCACTGTTTAGTAGACATGCCCCTACTTGCAATATAGCAATTAGGGTCAGAATTTACTAATACTAAGTAATCTTTACTTAGTATTAGTACATTTGGCTGAAATACCAATTTAGGTCTTTCAGCCTTTTGGTGGATATCTCCCTAATACCGTGGGGGTGGCTTCTGATCCTAAGAAAGTCCCGAATTGCATTCTAACACAAATGGAGAAACTGTTCTCATTCTGTTAGGACGCAATTCAGAAGTTTACAGGCGTCCTGTCTAAATGACAGGACTTTCGGGAATACTGACAGGAAGCATCACGGGAACAGAGAGGAAAGCTAAGAATTGTGGGAAAATTTCTCTGACCAACGGAAATGAAGCACACTTTGCTCCTCTGCTGGTCAGAGATGGTCAGGTATAGGAAACCCTACTTTGACTTATGTTTTAAAGAAAACTAGAGCAGACAGGAACAAATGAAGAACAGATCCTGACAGAAGGAGAGAAGGGGAAGCGATTAAAGAAAGGTAAGTTCGGCATGACAGTGCCGCTTTAATTTACAGTGTTGCACTATGGTTGTTTTCTCTTTCCTTTACATGCACGCATGAGGATACAGTTCAACAATACAGACCGGAGGACACCATCATTGATTGATGAGCCTTTACCTATATTTTGACTTGTCAGTTTAACCTTGAATTCATTTTTATTTAGAGTATTGTGAAAGTATTACACTATTTGGTCCTTTGCTTTATATTTGTGTAGCTATACCTTTTTTACATTTTGTATCGAGAATTTTGAGGTACCTTCTATACTTACAACAGTTAGTGAAAAAGGGTAAATACTTGTTTTTCATTATATTGTGTTTTTTTACTTGCATTGCATGATTGAGAAGGATGTGTTGATCTATTTGATTTATATCCCTTCAGCAACCAAACACATACTTAGAAAACATATACTCATAAAATCTCACCCTAAAAGTTTTCATGTGAAATACTCTCAAAACCATAGCTACTATCCCAAAACCCTCTACAAGATGTAGCTATCCATGTCCTGTCACTCCCGCATGAAAGAGAAAAGAAAAGATACAACCCAAAGTTTAAATTTAACCCTTAGCAGGAGATAGCTACCAAGTGATATTTGGAAAAACCATTACAAATAGGAGGAAATAAAAAAAAAATATATATATATATATATATATATATAATCAAGTTCCAAATATTCTTATGTCACATAATTTGTGAAATGTAATGTTTGAACCTAGCTATACGTTTGTGATATTATTTTTTTTCCACAGTCCCTTACTTACATCCTTTACATTGTGTACTGAACACTATCCCTAATAATTGTGTATACCTTAACCTTGTGCATTACATAATATAATAAATTGAATGGAGCCACATATTTTAAAAATTGTGCTGTTTCCAAAATGTATATTTTCATGTTATAAATATTAGAAACCACTTTATGCATGATAATAATTTGTGACTTAAAGGGACACTATAGTACCAGAACAACTACAGCTTATTGAATTTGTTCTGGTGAGTAGAATCATTACCTTCAGGGTTTTTGCTGTAAACACTGTCTTTTCAGAGAAAATGTAGTGCTTACATTACAGCCTAGTGATAACTTCACTGACCACTCCTCAGATACCTGTTAGAGATCCTTCCTGGGTCATGGCTGCCTAAAATGCCTCCAAACAATTAGTGTCTCCTCCCTCTGGATGCAGTAACTGATCTTTCCTAATAGAGATGCATTGATTCAATTCATCTCTATGAGGAGATGCTGCTTGGCCAGGGCTGTGTTTGAATTGTGCTGGCTCTTCCCCTGATTTGCCTCTTTGTCAGTCTCAGCCAATCCTAGGGAAAGCATTGTGATTGGATCAGGCTACCACTTCTGCTGATGTTAGCAGGCAGTGGGTAGGTCAAAAGGAAACAGGGACAAAGTAAACAGCTCCAGACTTGAATACAAGTAAGATTTTACTATATTTAGGGAGGCATGAGGGGCCCGGGGGGGGGCTAGATGGTGGTTTTAACCCTATAGGGTCAGAAATACATGTTTGTGTTCCTGACCCTATAGTGCTCCTTTAACATTATGGATTACAAAAAAGAAATACAACATATCCAAATATACATGTGACACATAATGTAAGAAATTATATGCAAGTTTGTAATATTAAATATTTCTACAGGTCCTCATCTACAACATTTACAGGACATCCTTGAACCCAGGACATACTTGAAAATGAGAGAAATCTTAATGTATCCATCCTGGTAAAATATTTCATAAATACATACATTTACAATGTGTAATAAAACCTTTATCCAATAGTTACATATACCTTAGCTTTGTACACTACATGATATTATATACTGTATGTAACCTAACTCCTTACAAATAGTTCAACTCTAAAAATTGGATATCTTCATCAGTTATGATATGTTATAAAGATAACCTTATTTGTGTTAATAATTTGGGACTGGTCCTCATGCAAAACATGGAAACAAAAATCAATTTGATAATCAATTTTACTTTACTAGGGTACTAAGCTCTAGTTATGCAACTATTTTCCCTTTTAATCCTACTAAATAAGGCCTTTTGCTCTCCCACATTATTAGGATTAAACCCCATCTATATTTAATGTTGTTCTGTATTACCTTCATCAAAACCAGTGTATAGGGTCTCTGTAGTCTTGTTTGATAGGAAATTACCTGAAAAATAACAATGTTTTAGAATTTTCCATTCTCTTTTGAACTTCTTTTGGTGGTGATGTTGAATCCAGTGATGATATTTCTGTTTCCCCCAATGCTGCAACATATTATTTTTGCCTCTGACCCATGAGCTACTCAAATATGATTCTAATGACCCATTGGAATTGGAAGAGGAGAGAGTGGAGAGGACAGGCAGCAGCCCAGTACTTTCTCTTTCAGTTAGTGTTCACTTGCTTCTTGCATATTGTCCATCATTTCCAAGTCAATCTGTATCTGCTGTAAAGTCATCTCATCCAGCAGTTGAGAAATAAACTGTTACCACTGGCACAAGCTCACCCACTGTCAATGGTGTCAGCAACACCACTACCACCACCAATCAACACTACCCCCAGTAATGGCACCATCCACATTTCCATCAGCATTACTCAACCAAGCGCTAATGTACAGGCTAGTGTTACAACAACTTCCACTGAGACCAATGCAAATCTAGCCACAGACACAAAGCAAAGGGTTGAGGGTACTGTATTGCACCAATAATGCTAAGTTTTGGATCAATTTGATTACCTCCAAGAAGGTCAAATAACAAAATGCAAATTGTGCAGCAAGGAAGGGAATAAGAGACGAATACTGCGTAATTGCACTAGTATTGGTATAAATTAACATCTGCAAAGATACCAAAAGTATTTTTTGTCTGAGGGAAGAAGCAGAACACGAAAGTATTAGGG